TTTTCTAAGTGCAGGAGGAGACGGCTGCAGAAGGACATTGAAATGGGAATGGGAAATTCCAAATCTAGGGTAYGTACTAAAATCTTCTGAATGTAGTAATGAGCTGTTTTTCTAACTCAGCTTTCTGTTTTTCTCTACATTTYAGCAGATAATTTCTACTTCTGATGATTAGGCTTTTGTATTTAAAGATCTATAATTCATGTTGTCATTTGCAAAAACACATTTTGAACAAAAATAACTGAGTAATCAAAGATGCAAGTAATTCCCATTTGGAATGACCTAAATATTGAACAAAAATGCTTTCAGCCTCTGAACAAAAATGCTGGAGAGATGTCACCATACAGTTGAATTTCATAGACCACAAATCCTCATATGAAGAGCTAGCTTTTTCCTTCACCACACAGGCAATGTGTGAGGGAATGTGATGCCTTTGCGATGGAGTCAGCTGATCCTCTGATAACTGAGCAGTGACCAGTTTTCTGAAGGTGTTGCTATTCCTGAAAGTTTTGCTTCAGAAGAAGCCTTTTGCAGCTACTTTGACCTGGGCAGAGCTTTCTTATAGCTGAACATGTGCCTAAGGGTGCAGGTCCACAATAACCCTTTGCCAAAGCCACTTCAGAGAGTCCTTCCTTGATCTGGCCATTCATTCCTGCTTTCAAGTGGTAACTTGTTATCTTCTGAACTCTGTGAGCACAATTGCTTTGAAGCTGTGCTGTGAACAGGATGGCTGCAAAGAGCAATATTAAAAAACAAATCAAGGCAATCAGGCAATCAGTGTTCATTCTTTTGAAATTAAGCCTCTGAAGTAGTGAAGATAAAAAATCTTCAAGGAAAAAAAAAAGCAGATGATTTATAACTGTGAATTTCATAAGTGCTTAAATCTTGTTTCGTTGTTTCCTAGTTAAACCTTTTCACTCAGTCGAACTCCAGAGTTTTTGAATCACACAGTTTTAACAGTATTCTCAATCAACCAACACGGTATCAGGTGAGTATGTACACTGGCCACTGCTGAGCAATGAAAGCGTGTGAAAATAGATATCTATGTTAATGGTTCATCATTTAAGCTGAGTAATTATTTCAGACTTTTAATTCATAGAGTTATCGACTGTTTAGATTAGAAGGGACCCTTGTATATTATCTAGTCCAACCTCCTGCTCCACGTCAGAATGTCCAGTGCCCGGTCCACTTCCACTGAAGTTCTAAAGATACCATAACCACTCTAAGCAGTCCTTTTCGGAGTATTCATACCAGAATAAGGGAAGGGGAGCCAGATAGAGCAGATAGCCAGAAGAGCAGATAGGGCCAGCCAATGCCCGGAACTCCTATGGCATACTTCATTCCTCGAGTTCGTTCTGGGCCAAGATAACTACAGCAGATCTGGCACCACATGTTAGGTATAACCTGGTGCTCAGAGGGTTTTGTATAGGGAAAAGTTCTGTGTTGTGTAAGAGACTCAGTATCACCACACAAGTGGCTGCACATGTGCTAAGGCCATCAAGATCATGGCAGAAAAGTGCTAGACAAAATACAGGGTTTCTTTCACCACTGCCCTTTTGCACTGGTGATGATATAGATGCTTGTTACATCCATATCATTAGGTCTGTGCATCCTGTAGTGTATAAACCTCTGTCAGCACACCTGGTAAATTCTGAAAAAGCAAACTCTTCACACGAAGACAAACTACCTTGCTTCTTCCTGTTACACTGTGTTAAAATAAAGGAAACTACATTCAATATTTCCATATTGCCCATGTTCCCTGGTATCAGTGGTGATACCCTGTAAATTAGAGATGACTGAGCGAGAAAAGTGCTTTGTTGTAATGCTGACATATGACATACGTGTGTGTGTGTATATATATGTATGACATACATGTGTGTATATATATATGTATGACACCAAAAAAAAATAGAAGACAAGTGCTTAATCTAGGGTTGTTTGTTCTTTTGCTGTTGAGGAAGTGAGAAATAATGTTAATAAACAGAAGTGAGCAGAGGTTTAGTATAAATGCTTATCTGATAGTATAACTGTTTTTAATCTGGCAGCAAATAATGAAGAGACTGATAAAACGTTATGTTTTGAAAGCACAAGTGGATAAAGAAAATGATGAAGTAAATGAAGGTAAGAGACACTGCAGTTGTAACATGCAGMGGCAATTTTTGCCACTTTGTTTTGGGAATTGGGATTACAATGGTGCATGGAGGCTTTGGTTAAAATGTGAGTTGYGTTCTACTTGAAGTGCACTGAAATAAGATGGACGGTAAGGATTACMTGTCTTTGACAATAAAAATAGACAAGTAGAGCAAAAAAAATAAATGAACTCCGGGCCCTATTCATGGCAAATTGGGACCTAGACATGACTTGCCTAGAGATACAGAGGAAAGTTTTTAAAGAAGCCACTAACTTCCAGACTTCCAGAGTCCTCAGTCAGTGCTTTTGGGGTCCCTTTCTCTCTGTCTCATTCAGCTGAACACACTATTTATTATTTTGTGCCATGAGCTACTTGCATTCCTTTCGCTCATAATGTTTTGTGGAATYCTCATCTATGCAGTTGAAAACTGCGTAGCATTAGCTGTATGGTGAGGAAAACCAAGATCCATTTTAGTGCAAGACCAGAGATCTTGGGTGAACCGATGGCTCTGATCTTCCCATGTGTGTCTGAACTGTGGGGCCTCACAAACTCGTGTGGTAACAGTGGGAGGGGGACGTGCACCGGACACACACCCTGACTCCCAGTTTGGGTATGACTCAGGCCCCATTTCTCCTGCCTACCAGCAAGGAAAGGCAAACCTGAGGGCTTAAAAAAAAAAAAAAAAAAAAGACAACGACAAACCAAACCACTTGTGAGGTCTGGGCAAATCTTGAAATGAAGTAGTCAGGAGAGGGCAGCACTCTGCTCTCTAGGGAAACATGATTAGGCGGTAGACTAATGACCTTTTCAGGGCTATGCGCTTTGAAGATGCAAGTAACTGCAACAATAGTTCTATTCCCCATTAGCTGGAGGAATCCAAAGACCACATTTTTCTCACCAATACCTGTGGAGTTTAGGTCTTCCCAGTGCCTTGATGTCTGTGTGGGTATTTACACACACTGGCTTACATGAGTAAGGCAGTTAACGTGCAGAAGAATTGTGATGTACATCATGGTTTTCCTAGAGGCTCCTCCACTTTGGGCGAGTTGGCTAACCCCTGAACCGYGGGCTTGGCTGCAAAGCAAAGAGCTTTTTGCTGGGCTGAACATATAAGGAATGTCCTATAACGTTGCCTTTTAAAAATCTGGCCTTGACCATTGTTTTCCTACTAAGATGGTTCCTGCTTAGATGGGGTGTTAGTGCTTGTGTTGAATTCTAACATAATATTAAACCAAGTGACTTTTTCTAATTCAAAGGCTATTGTTAAGGAAGAGGAGGCAGACTCAGAAGCCGTGAGTTTTCTTGCTGGCTCTGCCACACTTTCCCTGTGTGATCTAAGCATATCACCTCAGAAAAAAAACCTCTTTGCCTTTTCTCTATAAAAGCGGGGGGGATGAATACTAATATTTACCAACTGCTCAGCAGTGTTGCTAYGATTAATTCATTAACTTATATAAAGGGCATTGTGAATCTTTGGTATTCAGTGTATCTGTGAAACACAACATTAGCAGAGTGTGCTGGATTATGAAAATACCTTGGGTACAATTCAGGGGTGGACATGTTTACACATGCTGAGTGTTGCTGCTGTCCCTGCCCTCAGCATCATCTTGGATGAGCAGGAAATAATTCCAAAATAGGCTCTGGTATTTCTTGACAGAACTTTATTTTATATATATGAACATACAGCCAACTTTGCTAACAAGTATTTCTTTCAATGATTAATGCAGGTGAGTTAAAGGAAATCAAGCAAGATATCTCCAGTCTTCGCTATGAACTTTTGGAGGATAAGTCCCAAGCAACAGAAGAGTTAGCAATTTTAATACATAAACTCAGTGAAAAACTAAATCCTAATATGTTGAGATGTGAATGATTCAGCAGGTGAACCATGGCTTTGACTACAGCACAACTATTTATTGGCAATAATATTTCAGTATCTTATACTTGAAAAATGTATTGTAGATTTTTAGCACTAAAAAACTTTATGTACAGCTTCTCTGGAATTTAATCTTAAGGAAATTTTATTAACTCATGACACAATGATTGCTCCCTTCATTTTAAGTGTTTAAAAGCAAGAATTATCACACTTTTTTTTTTGCATTTATGCATTTTAAGAAGGTATAATGGTATGAATGACTAGTATTTTTAACAGGTTGGTGAATAAATGCTGAAACTTCTTTGCACTAAATTTGCAAGAAAAGATTACAATATTGTACAGACTGTAGTCTCCTGTTTCTTACAACAGTGGGGCAGGAAGAGGACATTTTCCTATCTAATAAATCAGTTAGCAAGCAGTGAAGGATTACTTGAATTCTTTTATGCTCTTTATTAATGACACTAGTGCAGTTATCATGGTATCACGGTACCCTCCCAGGCACTCCATGAAGGGCAGGTAAGTGTGAATGTAACTGTAGATGCACTGTTCAACATGTATGTATATATGCACCTGCACACATTAAAAAAAGAAGAAAAAAAACTTTTTTTCTTAATTCGGCATCTTTTACTTTCAGTGGCAAGGAATAGGTGTTTTTTTTTTTTTTTTTTTTTTAAACTTTCACCTATAATGTTAACTCCTCTTTATGTAGTAGAAGTTTTTTAAAGCAACCTTGGGGCAGGGCTGGTCTTTTGTTACGCACTTCTCGGTAACGCCTCCCATGCTTGTTGTTAAATAAAATATACAAAATATTGTTAAATGAAATATGCCTCCTCTCTGTTGTCATGCACAGTTATGTGAATACGTGAGAGATGCCCTCAGCCTCAATACGCGCTTGGTATTTCAGCWGGTGGGCCCAGTTTTACGATTTAAGTTCGAAAAACAGGTTTATTTGCTCTAAAAGCGCTGGGSTGAGGACGCTGTTCCCCCCTCGCAGCCATGATGCCGCCTTCCCTCAAGGAGCGCGCGGGCGGGGCCGGTTCCCCGCGGGGCCCGCTCTGCCCAACCACGGCGCGACCCCGCCCTCGGGCCCGCCCCCTCCGCCGCTTGACCAATGGGGAGCCGCCTCGGTGCCGCGTGGCCGCCGTTGCCGCGGTAACGGGGGCGCCGCGATCGTTGCGGGCGAGAGCGGGGCCGGGCGCGGGCTGCGGCGGCGCTGCGGGCCGGGCCGGGCCGAACCGGGCCGGGC